CAGGAATGTATCCTCTTGCTGTCTCATTGCATGAAATGAATGCCCAGCGATGGCCTGGGGCTAAAGCAACATTAAAGCCTTGTTTGGGCTACCCATGGTTTTTATTAAACTTTTTAAAAAATATTAGTAGTAGTCAGTGCTGGTTAACTATTAAGGTAAAAATCTCGGGTTTATAATGTCTTATATAATAGGAGCTTTAGAAGAGTTTTTTTTATTATAACATTTTGGAGTACAGCTAATGGCTAACCCAGGTCTAGTTTGTCACATTTTCTGCAAAAATCTATCAAAAAGTAATGATGGATTTCGTAACTGGCCGTATATGTTTATACAGTTGGGCTGCTGAGAAGGGGCTTTCTCTTGAGCAATGCTGTGCTACTAAACACTGACATACTGTTAATGTATTTAGCAGTGATGCAGAAACATCCAGCCTGAATTCACCAATGTGCTTAGGAAGGGAAAAAGAAGACTTGCTCTGATAGGTGAGAGCTTTTTGTCGTCTTGTTTTTAACCACAAACCTGAGGCTTGCAGTTTAAGGGAATTCAGACAGCAAGCCTTACTCTCCCTTTCTTACCCACCTTTCATAATAAGATTTTTCTCCCAAGACGTTGTTTTGCTCCCAGTTACATAGTTGGTGTCTTCCCTGGATTTTAAAAGAATAGAATTTGGATTGCAGACTTGCAGGTGTTTGCTTGTGTAACAGGTTTTTTCCTCTCAAAATTTTAATGAGAAAACGAAAAAGAAAGGAAAGTTGAATAAATGAAAGGTAGACTGGATATATAGTGAAGATACGTTTCGTTTCGCACAAGAATTTCACTCTTCTAACTGTAAAGATGCAGCTCTTTCTGTTTGCTTCTCTACAGTTATAACCAGGTAGATGCACACAAGCGCCAGCTTTCTGCTCTGTACAAATTCACTGTCTTCCTGCTGGTGCTCTCTCTCCGATCCCAGTCTCAGCCTTCCATTTGACAGCTCAGTTGCTGCAAAGATGATGTCAGCTGCAGAGGGTTAAGAGCATGAAGTGAAAAACTATCAGCAGGAGCTGATATAATCTTGGGTAATGAGAAATGCTATTCTAAGGCACAGAGACATTGGCACAGAGGCATCTTACCACAAAGACCTGCGCTAAGCAGCGGGGAGAGGTGTGGGTTTACCTCCAGGTTTTTTATCTCCGGGCAGATATTGCAAAGAATGCAAGAGCGGAATTGTATGAATTCTTGCTGTGCTCCAGTAGCTGACAAATTTAGTTAGTTTAAACTAGCTTTTAATAATGTAAAAATTGAAAATATAAATCCTATGCAAAAAAAACCCAAATAACTGGGCTCAGACAGTATAAAATCTTTGCCAGATGGTTAACCTTCCTGAGAGAAGGGAGCTATTGTTCCGCCTTCCCTTCACCCAGCCGTGCTGGGCTTAGTGAAGGAGGGTTTGTGTTCCTGAAAGCTGGTCTGCCTTTTTTCAACTCTATCAGTTGGTCCAATGAAAACATATCACCTCTCCCTACAGAGCTTGTCTCACTGAAGTTACTGTTTCTGCTTTCATCTCACTGACGTGGATCATGCTCCTATCTTCCTCCAGTAGCTGAAAGGTCTAATGGACCTTGGGGAGTAGCACATACTGCATCGCCTCACCTAACTGCAGTGTCCAGTCAGCCCTGCTGTAGGGGATCCAACCCAGCCCAAAAGGTCATAGTTACAATATAT